ATTGTAGCAAAAAATTTAATTTTCATTTCAAATACTTTTGATTTCCTTACGTTTTGAGCACTAGACTATACTATGTAAGTCAAATTAGCACTAATGTCGAAATGATAAAAACCAAATGATCATTGATTTAAAATTTTATCCTTTAATATATATATGTGTGTATGTATAAGAATGTTAAACATTTTTCATTTTTTCAGGCTATAAAAAAGCTACATCTTCTTTTGCGGCATTACAAAATTTTTTTTTGTTCAACATCTACAAAAAATTGTTCTTCAACCATTTAATGGCGAATAATATTTATATCCCCATCTGTATCCCCTAGAACACAAGTTCATATTTAATATTTTTTTAATATCTTAGATCCCCCAAAAAGCTTACAAAAAAGGCAGCGCATTTTGCAATGATAAACTATCTCAAATATTCATATAAAAAATTTATAGCATTTTAGCCTATCAGCCTGTTTAAATACACCCATATCTGTTAGCAAACAATTCTTTCTTATTTGAGACTAATACTAGTCCTCTTCATTAATCTATAAATTTGGATAAAGAAAGATCCTAGAAGCTTATTTAATATTTATATTGTGATTTGCTATCAATTATCCAAGTTTAAGTAGCAAGAAATCAAAAAATGACAGTCTCGAAGCTCTTCGCATGTTTTATTGATGGACTTTAAATAGTTGGATGGGGGGTAAAATCCCCGAAAGATATTAATTCCACGATCCTGCGAGATAATAACCCCGAAAATCGCAAATTTTTAAATGTTCCCTGCGAGATAATATTCCCACTTAGAAATACACGTGGAATTATTATCCTTCCCGAAAGATAATAATCCCACCTATAATTACAAGTGGGATTATTATCTCCCAGGTAGATAATAATTTCACTTACATTTCTAAGTGGGATTATTATCTCCCAGGTAGATAATAATTTCACTTACATTTCTAAGTGGGATTATTATCTTTATGGAACACGATTAAAATTATGGATTAAATCAAATCCAAAAACTTATTTGTCATAGTGGATAATAATTCCACTTGTATTTATAAGTGGATTTATTATCTAATAAGATTTTCATCCAAAAAAAATCCTACTTATTAATTTGTCAATTTCATTATTCCAAAAACTTAAATAAGAAGAAAACATAAATATTGGTTGAATGTTTAAGTTGAAAACTTGGTTTTTTATGCCTTTTGTAAATTTTTTAAAAGCCTAGAGCCTAGATGTTTAATGTATCAAAGATCTATTCACTCAAGAAATCATATTCACACAAAATTTTCAATTTTTGGTTTTTGCAAATAGTTTTGAAATGAAGTCTTTCAAAATTTAAAACGTGCGGAACTAATAAATCACGTTTTTATCATTTTTGTCATTGGCAAAATTTGAGTTCACGTGATGCAGGATAGAGGATGCAAGGTTTTTTGCTTTTTTGAAAGCAATGGTTGTTTCTACCTTACCCAATAAAAAAATAAAGCCTTAACCTTTTTAACGCAGCAAGAATCAAAATGCAATAATTAGAAGTCTCTAACATGCCTCGTTATTGAGATTTTTGCTGATTTACTTGCCTTGATGCTTGTTTGCTTACGTATCATGCGATTTTCCCATCAATGCTACAGCCAATTTAAATTCTGTTTTTGCCCATTTTCTTTTTTTTCTCAAAATGCGAAAAACTGTTTTTCAAGCTGAACAAAAATAAAGTGAATACGGTGTGAATATAAAATCTATTTTAGGATATAGAAGTTTTTCGCATTTTTTGAGAAAACGAAGCAAAATTGGTTATAAAAGGTCAAGAAGAAAAGTTTGTGCCTGAAATTTTACATCATTTTCAAAAAACAGATTTCAAATTGGTTGTGACATTGCTGAGAAAATCGAAAAATACGCTTTCTGTAAGCAAACAAGCAAGCAAGTTAATCAGCAAGAAATCTCAATAACGAGACATCGTAGAGACTTCTAGTTTTTTACATTTGATCCGTGCTACTCTATAGAAGAGCTGTATTGTTTTTGGGCAAAGTAGGAGCAGCCGTTGCTTCAGAAAAAGCAAAAAACTTTCCTTTCTTACGAATTTTTCAAAACAAAAGTTGACTGTGATTTTTATAAAATTCAACTTTGGATGAAAAATTTTTTTTAAAAACTTTTAAAGAATGTTCGTTAAGCTTTGGACCTTCAAACTTATGCTGAGCGCAGCTCAGCTCACTCGCTAGCTTTATATCTTCAAACTTATGCTGAGCGAAGCTCAGTTGACTTATCAAGCTTCATACCTTCATACTTATGCTGGGAAAATCTTGGTCTATCCATTAGACTTTGGTACGGTGTGAATATAATCCGCATTGGGTTTCTGCCCGATACACTAGTTCTGACAGGTTTTATTTTGAGCTTTTCTTTAAAAGAGCTCAAGTTTGAAAGAACTTACAAAATATTTCGTTTGAATTTTGTACGAATCATTTTAATTATTTGCTGAACATTTTCTGTAAATTTGTGGCCATCAGTTTGTTTAAGTAACCCTGTATACCTGAATAATCAGAATAATTTCGAAATTTTGAGATTATAAACAATCAAATCTCTTAAATGGTCTAAAATCATTGGAAATCTTCTTAGGGCTTGTAGACACGGTTAAACAGCATCAGAACTGCCATCATTTTAAAATTCTATTTAATTTAATAAGAATTTGAGCAACAGAATTTTAATTTTGCGTTCTTTTTATGTTTAAATTCTTTACATTTTTCTTAGCAAAATGTGTAATCAGACATTTTGATTAGATTTATAAATCTAATTTTGTTAAGGGCAATTTACAATTCTTTGAATGACTTTTGGAAAATTTCAGGAAAAAATCGAAAATTTATTATTTTGCCCATTAGAGGTTAACACATCTACTCCTAAACATTTGAACAAAACTGTGATTTTTAAACAGTTGAATGAATGAAGCGAAACAAAATGGAATTACAGCTACATTTTCTTTAAACATTCGAGCGAATCTCGAACATAATTTTATATGGAATAGCTAACATCTTTAGATCAGTTGAACTCACTTGAACCCACCTTGATTTTATTTTTTAAACAATTTGGAATAATATACTTTTAAAAAGCAAACATTCAACCAATATTTACGTTTTCTTCATATTTAAGTTTTTGGAATAATGAAATTGACAAATTAATAAGTCGGATTTTTTTTGGATGAAAATCCTATTAGATAATAAATCCACTTATAAATACAAGTGGAATTATTATCCACTATGACAAATAAGTTTTTGGATTTGATTTAATCCATAATTTTAATCGTGTTCCATAAAGTTAATAATCCCACTTAGAAATGTAAGTGAAATTGTTATCTACCTGGGAGATAATAATCCCACTTGTAATTATAGGTGGGATTATTATCTTTCGGGAAGGATAATAATTTCACGTGTATTTCTAAGTGGGAATATTATCCCGCAGGGAACATTTAAAAATTTGCGATTTTCGGGGTTATTATCTCGCAGGATCGTAGAATTAATATTTTTCGGGGATTTTGCCCCCCATCCTATTTAAACCCTTTTTGAAATATTGCACAAGATATAATTATTGCATACATTAATGACAACGCATTTTAATATTTCTTGTATTTGTATAATATTGTAAGGAATGATAGTTGTTGTTTGTGTCTGCCTTAAACCTTGTAATAGTCGGTCTATCGATTTTTTTTTCTATTTGCAGATGCAACAGGTGAAATTGGTTTTGTTTTTGCATTTCTCTTTTGACTTCAATTACAATTTAAAGGAGAGAAATTCGTAATCAATGACTCAATATTCATTCATGAATATACATAATTTAGAGTCATACGAAAATGTCTCACAAGGAATGATACGCTTGAGTAAAAAGATAGATAATTATTATTGGTAAACTGCACATTATTTATGCTAAATTTTGACTTTTGCTGACACAATTTGTCTTTGGTTTGCTTTAAAATTCATTCGTTTTTTACGCGGCATAAGTTTTTAAATGAAAATTTATAAACATGCGATAGATTCAAGAGTTTTCGTATTTTCTCCATCAATTTGTTTAATGTTTTTATTTTTTGATTAATAATAAATTTGCCTTCACTTATGCTTCCATCGAAAATATTAAATTCTTACTTAAATTATGCATAATGGGAATTTCTAGAAGAGAATGTTGAATGTAGATGAATTATTTTAGTGTGTTTAAGGTTTCCTGAATATTTAACGGTGGAATTGGTTAGGGTAGCTGCGTATTAAATTTATGGACTCAGACTCATTGATGAAAAAATGGGAACTCATTCTTGAATATTAGTTAACTTATTACTATAGCTTTTGACTAGGTGCATGTAATTCGATGGGAATCAAACTTTCGTCTTTATAATGAGACCAACGATACTCGGCTAAAAGATCAACTTTTATATTTCGACCAATGCTCATAATTTTTCTTCAATCCAGTTTTACCATGATTTTAAAGTTCTGAACTACTTAAGATATTATATCTTGTAATGTTTACATGTCGAATCCTCAATAATTAAGATATGAATACTATAATCAATTCCAGCTATTTCATTATTCCTTGTTTTAAATTTTTAATTAGTGTGTTTCATCCTCTTCTAGAGAAACCCGCCATAATTTTTTTAATATAATAATTATACTTTAAGGATATGCAAGCACTCATTTTTTGATAATTGAATTATTTTATCATTAACTTTTAAATCGCGTATTTTAATTTCATTGATAAGGAACATAAAGCATAAGATAAGACGCAGAAAACTTTATCTTAATAGAAATCACATTTTTCATCATCATTATTTTTTTTTTGTTTTTGTTTTGTTAGCAAACTCGAGTGGTATGTAAGTAGCTATAACTATCAGTGCAAGCAATTCAGCAAGTCGTTCAATATCAGTTTAATTAAAAATTATATTGTGTTCCTTTTTTGTGTGTTCTTCTTTTAGTGTGACTTTACTCAAATTAAATAAGTAAGTAATATCTCATGATTTGAGACTACTTAATTGTGCGATGTATAAAACTAATTTTCAGTTGGTTCAATAGCATCAATTTCATCAACCTGTTTATTTGCCGTTAGGGTTGCCTTGTTCTGACGAACGATCATTGCACGGCGTTCCTAAAATGACATAATATAAGAAATAAAAATCGTAAATTTGCCAGTTAAATGTTATGACTCGCTATTAATTGATTGTCCTTGTAGAATAAACATAGGAAAAACAATTGCATGAGAATAAAAACAAATTAATGAATAAATAATTTAGTTCAGGTGATTGAAATTGAGAGACACGCGAATATCCAAATGTAATTTTACTATGTATTATGACTCATGCCGTGCTGTTATGTATCAGAAAACAAATGACCTACATGATTTTTGATGCTCTCTAAACGCTTCTCTAATTCCTTCACACGATTCTGTTCAGCAATAAATAATTTGTTTTCAATAATGCGCGACTGTTGTTCACGTGCACTTCGTGAATCAGCTGTATGCCGGACTTCAGCTACTTTTACCGAATTCTAACGATTTAATGATTTGTTATTTTCATATTTATTAGTGAATGGAATTCAATGAATGTGGGGTGGGTTAGGTTGTGGAAGACATTGTATGTTTAATTGTTGTATAAATAGATATGATTGCAGATAGTTTGTTGTTGTTTAAAAAAAAATAAAAGGAACACGTTAAAATGGTAAGAAGGACACAAAATGAGGGATAGAAAAAAAAAGAGCAAAAGACATTACGAATAATAAAAAAGGACTAACAAAATGTCACAAAGAAGTGTATCCATCTTACAACATTCAACTTACATGCTCTCTTAGACGTTCCAAAATGCGTTTAATATTTTCATCACGTAAATTGGCAGCGGCTTTCAATTTGTCATTCAGAGCATTTCGTTCTTCAACTTTCTGTTGTTCCAACATCTCCTTGGTTCGCTTGATTTCTTCTGTATGATTCTGTGATGGGGAATATGTATGAATGTTTGTTTAATAATGAACACTGAGATGGCTTCTTTCAGTTTAAAAGTCTTCACTAATGTTAAAATCAAGGGTGGATTCCACTAAACATCTAGAGCTTCTGTTTAGACTAAGTCTTTTAAACACCTTCGACAAAGACTTAATCAAACTTTGAATTACAACCTACCTTGAGTTTCTCCTTCATTTCAGTTATGATAGCTTCACGTTTCTCTTCAGAATGCTCCATTTTGATGATTAATGTCTCCTTTGCCTGAACCATAAACTCATTGTTTAACTCATCCTTCTTGCGTGACGCTTCTTCAATTTTTGCCATTTTATTTGTCCAATCTGCAACTTTTTTGGCTTCATACATCTACATAACATGAAAAGTTTAAAGACATGGAGAAGAAGATATGAAGATAATGTAAACATGATATAAAAATAAGATCATAAAAACTAAACTAGTGTCTAGTTTACAGTACAAAAGTAAATAGACAAAGTTTCGTCTGCTTAAAACTTTCCATCGAAGTATATTCATTGAAAAATTGTCAACCAGTATTTGCTATTTGCTAATATTAATGACTATTTGCGTATTTAATTTGAATTGCTTTAAAGTTTTTAATAATTTTTGTTTTAAAAATTTAACTTCATTTTATCTGTTTAAAAATCCTAAATCTTTCACGACTTCTTGAACGTTTATTTCTGTCCTTCCTTCAAGAATCAGTCAAAATTGTTTAAATTTCAATATGAAATGTGCAGATCAATTCACAAGTCATTCAATGAACAATAAAAACTATCCATCAAATAAAATCAATAAAGCAAAACTCACCAAACGCCTTTCCTCAGCTGCCTTTAATTTTTCTGCAATTTCCTGAGTTGTTAAAGTTTTTTCTTTTGTGGAGTTATTTGGTTGCTGAACAGCTTTTGGTATTTGAACTTGAGTAAGGTTTGGTTCCGCTAAAATAACTTCATAGCGCAAACCACCCTTTGATTTTTCCTGACAACGAATTTCAGTTGCTATGAAAAAGAAAGACAGAAATCGAGAAAATGAAGTCGATTATTACTTGGGATTCCCCATGTTTATTTCCCATTGCTGTGAATGTGGAAAGCGCAATAAAATATGAGTCATCATTGCACTTTTATAGTTTTTCAAACAAATATTTTCGATTTATTGCTATTAATTAAGTATAAAGGGGAAAATAGGATGCCATTTATAAGACCTTATATGTCATGTCGTTTGGTTTTTATTAAATTTAGTGACTTTTATTTGTTGTAAGGGGTAAAAACTTATCGAGCTGAAAAGAAACTTTAATGAATAATACTTTGTGTATTATTTTGAGAGGGTGCAAAAGCCAAGCAGCAAAATTTCGAGGAAGAGAATGAAAAACCGAATATGTAGACATTTGTCTCGTCAGGGCGTCTAGTCACGCAATCTTCCATTGCACTATAGTCGTATGCTCTACATTACTATTGGAATATAGAATCTCTGTTTTCCTATGTAATAGATTTTTTGGCATAAAATAGCATTTTTACCAGACAAGCATTAAAAAAAGTGTAAGTTTTTACAATAAGGTTCTATGACAAAGGAAATATGGTGCAGTTCACCCTCTAGTTCGCCACTTATCCGATGACTTTCGTACCAGGAAAGAAGTGAAAATTTTCTTCTAAGTCAAGTTATTGACAAATTATACCGCAGGCAAATCAAGTATTAATAAGCATTCTGTAGCATAACTCATTAAACCAAAATGAGCTCATTTCGATAGATGATTCAATATTACGTTCATAGCGTTAAAGGTCATCGAATGCCATGAATGTAAAAAAATTCTAAATGCTTCTTGGGTTTTGATTGAAATTTAGACTAGTTGATTATTTTATGTGAATGGAATAAAGCTTGAGTCCTTTGAAATTGGTGCTTAATATTGTCTATTTTGTTCGAATTTTTTTTAAAAATGATACCTTACGATTGATTGAACGTTAGCAAATAAAATGCAATGTTGTGTTTTATAATATAATCCTTTACTGGTTATTCATACTTAAATCGTAGATATATATATAAATATCTTTGATATAGAAATTTTATTTTAAAAAAATTTTGAGCACGTAAGCCATAACCATAAATTTTCTATTCAATCTTACAGAAAAGTTAAAAGGATTATCTAAAATTTACTGTGCATGATTCAATTTTTCCGATGAATACTCAAGCTTTTTTGCGACGTTTCATACAGAAATAGGAATGACTGTCCAATAATTTCTCACATAACATGTTATAAATCAGCATTAGAATTATCAATTTTCAATAAAAAAAATATCAATACTTACAGATAAATTTCACCTTCTTAGAAGCTTTTGGCTGCTTCGACCGAATCTTTCCCTGCTTCTTGACCAGTCCATTTACTAAAAATGAGTGAATAATCATTGAAATTTCTCGTTTTTATTGATTTTTCCGTCCGTATATTCATGAAAAAGCAAGAAGAAGAAAACCGGGCAAATTAAAAGAAAAGTGCAATAAAACTGAATTGATTTCTTTCTATGTTCAGCAAAAAATGACGAAAAAGTAAACTGACATAAAAAGAATTTTTTTCTCCACCCATTTTCCTCTCAACACAACATTAAAAACTCCTTTTAATTTTTTTTTAAAAAAATCAATAGCACAGGAGATTATTATTTTTTTAAGACATATAAAATCCACACGGAGTAAGTGAGTGAGAGAAACAATTGTTTTATGATTATGTTTGCAGAACATATATGAATTGAAAAATCAATAGCCACATTTTTTTCTCTCTTTTTGTAACAGTGTTTCATGCGAATGAGTCATCAACAAAAATATTTTCTTCGTATGGCTTTAAATATGAATGAAAAGTCATCTCATAACGGCACTTGAAATCTTGTAACACATAATTTAATTATTACGCTTGAGGAGCATGAATAATTCCTTATATAATTCCATCATCATAAAATTGCAATCGCTATTATTACTTTTGGTCAGACAATGTCAAAATAAATGTTATTGTCTCTCATTCTCAATTCCTTTTGGGATCAATAAATAGGAAGAGCGGAAAAAATATGTCTAGAAGTTATTTGTTCTACATGAGAAAAAATATTTTACGACTTTTTTAGTCTCATTCCAAATTTTTCTCATTCTTGCTTGCTTTTTTATCCTTATGCACTTACTTCCTGCAGCAGCCGGTAGCACAGGAGCACGGCACGAATGGCAAAAACATTGAAGGACAGATTCACGAACTAATGTGATCAACATACTAGTAATTGGCCTCTAATTAACTCTTTTATTATAAAAACTTTTGGTTTTCACAAATTTTTTAATTTTTTTCACTCGATTTACAGGATTCACAAAATGGAATAAAAAAAGGGTGGGGTCTTGCGTTTTCCTTTTTTTTATTAGATAGAAGAAAAAACTGAGGAAAACTTTTTCTTTCCTGTTTATACTTTTATGCTGTTCAAAAGGATGTGATAAGTGTGAAGGAACGTATAGAACTGCGCGAAATAATGTGAAACGTGCGAGAAAAATATTGCAAAGAGGACTTTTTAGCTTCGGGCCTCATTCGTTAAGATCATGCGGAATGAAAACTTTTGAATTTATTTTTACGTTACAGCAAATTTTTACACGCACGATGTTTTTGATGATTTAAGTTTTTTATTTGCTCATTTTTGTACTTTTAAAACGCAATATTTGTTGCGATATTAGAATTTAGGCAAAAGCATAACAATTTATTGATTTTTTGTGTTCGTTTTCTTGTAAGCCTTCGTTAAACATGTGTTAATATTTAATTTAATTTTAAATTCCAAAGCTTTATCAATTTCCTTAAAACTAGCGAATTCTCACAATTCAACTGCTTTTTAAAAGCTTTTGAAAAGCTTAGATCCTTAAAAATTTATTATCCGTTTGGAAAATATAAATAATAATAATAAACTTTGTTACTTACATACATTTGTTATTCAAAAGATGAAGCAAACAGTAATAAACAAATGATTGACGAATTGATTATAATGATAAGCAATTATAAGCATCCGTTTCCCAAATGTCTATCAATTTTCATACAACAAACGGAACCCACTGTAACGGGGGGTTAAAAATTTTGTTTGAACTGTTAAATATATCAGACCCATCAGAAATGAACTTTTTTTAAATTAAATTAAATTAATTTTAAATTAAAGTAAAAAACTATCTTGCAGGTAATTAATGATTAATATTTTGCGAGAGACTTTAGATTCTCTAGCCTTGATCTCATGATACCTATTTGACAACATTTCTGATGAGGTGCGTAGCCAGGGAGTATTTAGGTGCTACGGTTTTTATAAAAAAAAACCTAGAAATACCCAAAGTACCTAAATAAATCCTGTGCTTATTTAAAGTAGACACAAGGAAAAATGTAGAAGAAAATTGAAATTCCAAACTTTTTTTTATATTCACACCGTTTTCACGTGTGAATGTTTTGTTTTTGTTCAGATCGAAAAATCAGTTTTTTGGATTTTGTGAGTTAACGAAGCATTTTAGCTATAAATGTATTAAAAAGAAAAGTTTGTGCCTGAAATTTTACATTTTATGCAAAAAACAGATTTCAAATTGGTTGCGGCGTTGCTGAGAAAATCGAAAAATACGCTTTCTGAAAGCAAGCAAGAAGCAAGTTAATCGGCAGAAAATCTCAATAACAAGACATAGAAGAGACTTCTAGTTTTTTACATTTGATCCGTGCTGCTCTATAGAAGAGCTGTATTGTTTTTAGGCAAGGTAGGAACAGCCGTTGCTTCAGAAAAAGCAAAATACTTTCCTTTCTTACGAATTTTTCAAAACAAAAGTTCACTGTGATTTTTATTTAAATTAAACTTTGGATGAAAAAAATTTTTTTGAGCAAAGAACCAAGCAGGAAATACATTTTAAATTTTGGACTAGGGGCGACCGTAGTCAAAATCAATTTTGTCTCTTTTTTCTTCGAGGGTTTATCCAAATGAATTGAAACTTTGCGTAAATATTCTAGTGCTTAAAACAAATACAAATAAAACATCCTAAAATTTTTTTGATTAAAGAACCAAGTAGGAAATACATTTTCAATTTTGGACTAGGGGCGATCCTAGTCAAAATCAATTTTGTAACTTTTTTCTTCGAGGGTTTATCCAAATGAATTGAAACTTTGCATAAATATTTAAGTGCTTAAAACAAATACAAATAAAACATCCTAACTTTTTTGAGCAAAGAACCAAGGAGGAAATACATTTTCAATTTTGGTCGAGGGTTTATCCAAATGAATTGAAACTTTGCATAAATATTCTTGTACTTAAAACAAATACAAATAAAACATCCTAAAATTTTTTTGAGCAAAGAACCAAGTAGGAAATACATTTTACATTTTGAACTAGGGGCGACCCTAGTCAAAATCAATTTTGTCACTTTTTTCTTCGAGGGTTTATCCAAATGGATTAAAACTTTGCATAAATATTCTGGTGCTTAAAACAAATACAAATAAAACATCCTAAAATTTTTTTGAGCAAAAAACCAAGGAGAAAATACATTTTCAATTTTGGACTAGGGGCGACCCTAGTCAAAATCAATTTTGTCACTTTTTTCTTCGAGGGTTTATCCAAATGAATTGAAACTTTGCATGAATATTCTAATGCTTTAAACAAATACAAATAAGACATCCTAAAATGTTTTTGAGCAAAGAACCAAGTAGGAAATACATTTTCAATTTTGGACTAGGGGCGACCCTAGTCAAAAACAATTTTGTCACTTTTTTCTTCGAGGGTTTATCCAAATGAATTGAAACTTTGCATAAATATTCAAGTGCTTAAAACAAATACAAATTAAACATCCAAAAAAATTTTTGAGCAAAGAACCAAGGAGGAAATACATTTTCAATTTTGGACTAGGGGCGACCCTAGTCAAAATCAATTTTGTCACTTTTTTCTTCTAGGGTTTACACAAATGGATTGAAACTTTGCATAAATATTCTAGTGCTTAAAACAAATACAAATAAAACATCTTAAAATTTTTTTGAGCAAAGAACCAAAGAGAAAATACATTTTCAATTTTGGACTAGGGGCGACTCTAGTCAAAATCAATTTTGTCACTTTTTTCTTCGAGGGTTTATCCAAATGAATTGAAACTTTGCATGAATATTCTAATGCTTAAAACAAATAAAAAATAAAACATCCTAAATTTTTTTGAGCAAAGAACCAAGGAGGAAATACATTTTCAATTTTGGACTAGGGGCGACTCTAGTCAAAATCAATTTTGTCACTTTTTTCTTCGAGGGTTTATCCAAATGAATTGAAACTTTGCATAAATATTTAAGTGCTTAAAACAAATACAAATAAAACATCCTAACTTTTTTGAGCAAAGAACCAAGGAGGAAATACATTTTACATTTTGGTCGAGGGTTTATCCAAATGAATTGAAACTTTGCATAAATATTCTTGTACTTAAAACAAATACAAATAAAACATCCTAAAATTTTTTTGAGCAAAGAACCAAGGAGGAAATACATTTTCAATTTTGGACTAGGGGCGACTCTAGTCAAAATCAATTTTGTCACTTTTTTCTTCGAGGGTTTATCCAAATGAATTGAAACTTTGCATGAATATTCTAATGCTTAAAACAAATACAAATAAAACATCCTAAAATTTTTTGAGCAAAGAACCAAGTAGGAAATACATTTTACATTTTGGACTACGGGCGACCCTAGTCAAAATCAATTTTGTCACTTTTTTCTTCGAGGGTTTATCAAAATGAATTGAAACTTTGCATGAATATTCTAATGCTTAAAACAAATAAAAAATAAAACATCCTAAATTTTTTTGAGCAAAGAACCAAGGGGACTGTTCACTTATTACGTAACGCGAAAAAATTACTTCTTAGACCCCCCCCCCCCTCGTAACAAAATTTGTATGAAAAAAAAATTTCCTTGTTTGAACCGTAACAAAATCTTAGACCCCCCCTCCCCCTAAAAGCGTTACGTAATAAGTGAATGGCCCCAAGGAGGAAATACATTTTCAATTTTGGACTAGGGGCGACTCTAGTCAAAATCAATTTTGTCACTTTTTTCTTCTAGGGTTTACACAAATGGATTAAAACTTTGCATTGATATTTTAGTGCTTAAAACAAATACAAATAAAACATCCTAAATTTTTTTGAGCAAAGAACCAAGGAGGAAATACATTTTCAATTTTGGACTAGGGGCGACTCTAGTCAAAATCAATTTTGTCACTTTTTTCTTCGAGGGTTTATCCAAATGAATTGAAACTTTGCATGAATATTCTAATGCTTAAAACAAATAAAAAATAAAACATCCTAAATTTTTTTGAGCAAAGAACCAATGAGGAAATACATTTTCAATTTTGGACTAGGGGCGACCCTAGTCAAAATCAATTTTGTCACTTTTTTCTTCGAGGGTTTATCCAAATGAATTGAAACTTTGCATGAATATTCTAATGCTTAAAACAAATACAAATAAAACATCCTAAAATTTTTTGAGCAAAGAACCAAGTAGGAAATACATTTTCAATTTTGGACTAGGGGCGACTCTAGTCAAAATCAATTTTGTCACTTTTTTCTTCGAGGGTTTATCCAAATGAATTGAAACTTTGCGTGAATATTTTAATGCTTAAAACAAATACAAATAAAACATCCTAAAATTTTTTTGAGCATAGAACCAAGTAGGAAATACATTTTCAATTATGAACTTTGGACAGGTCTAGTCAAAATCAATTTTGTCACTTTTTTCTTCTAGGGTTTACACAAATGGATTAAAACTTTGGATAAATATTCTAGTGCTCAAAACAAATACAAATAAAACATCCTAAAATTTTTTTGAGCAAAGAACCAAGTAGGAAATACATTTTCAATTTTGGACTAGGGGCGACCCTAGTCAAAATCAATTTTCTCACTTTTTTCTTCTAGGGTTTACACAAATGGATTAAAACTTTGCATTGATATTTTAGTGCTTAAAACAAATACAAATAAAACATCCTAATTTTTTTGAGCAAAGAACCAAGGAGGAAATACATTTTCAATTTTGGACTAGGGGCGACTCTAGTCAAAATCAATTTTGTCACTTTTTTCTTCGAGGGTTTATCCAAATGAATTTAAACTTTGCATAAATATTCTAATGCTTAAAACAAATACAAATAAAACATCCTAAAATTTTTTTGAGCATAGAACCAAGTAGGAAATACATTTTCAATTATGAACTTTGGACAGGTCTAGTCAAAATCAATTTAGTCACTTTTTTCTTCGAGGGTTTA